GGACAAAATAAATTGATTTTTTCAACAAAAAAATAATTATAGTTTAAAGTTGGAAGAGAAGGGAAGTCATTTTCCTTAAATTTGAGGAAAATGAGTTGATTTGAAAAACATTTTCCAAAACATTAAACCCAACCAAACATGAAAAAATTGAAAAACATTTTCCGAAAAATGTTTTCTTCATACCAAACACACCCTTAGTGAAATATGAGTTCAAGAAGGTGTTGTACTGAGCGCTCACATGGGCAGAACAGCAATGTATGCTTTTTTTTTAATTATTAATTTTATAATTTGTTATTATATATATATATATATATATATATATATAATTATTTTCATTTTTTCTTTGTAAAATATTTATTATAATTTCTTTCTCACTTTAAAATTTTCAATTTTTTTCTTTCATCATTTTAAATAATTTTAAAAAAAATTATGTGATTTTTAAAAGAATAATTAGAAAATGTCCTTTAATTTTAACAAATAATGGCATGGATGAGCCTTTTTTCAAAAAAAAAAAGACATAAATGAACCAAACTTTTAAGTTCGATGACATATTTAAGCTTTTTCCGCATGCATGTTATGGAGGGATGTGATATTATTTTTTGAGACAACATGATGTTCTTTTTTTTATAAGAAATATTCATTTTTACAAATAAGAGATTTAAAAAGGAACCCCATTTTTACATTAGGCATCTTCCCTAGAAGTGCCTAATGTTCAATACTACTGCTAGACCAAAGGCTGTGTTTATTTTATGGTTGCAGCTGCAAGCTAAGCTTCTCACTAAATGGGTTCTGAAGAATGCAAAGAGGAAGACTCTACGGGCTCAGATTTTCAGAATGGTATATGCTGAATTAGTCTATTCACTATGGATTGAAATTAAAGGAATCAAAGAGTGTTCGAGCAGAAGACAAATGGAGTAAATAGGATTACTAGAATTATTGCTTTTATTTGTAATGTTAGAGCTTCCTCTAAGACTAGGCTTTTAGTTCAGTTTTGGTTGGTATAAGAGTGGAGGCGAGGTTTTATGTGTATAGCGTGTAGAGGAGAGTGGGAGTAGTGTCTATTCAGTATTCAGGATTTAGCTAACTATGGATGTTGGCTGTTATGTATTGCTTTACGGGTTATTAATGAAAACAAGTTAGTTACCTAAAAAAATCATCTGTAAAGGATTGTTTGGTAGCTAATTACAAATGGGTGAATGTCTTTATTATTTTATACAAGTATTAGTTATGTAGGAATCAATTATTTGCGTATTTGTTATTCCATCTTATATAATGTATAATATAATACATAGATTCCTTCATAACTTATACATGTATTAATTATGCGAATTTCTAAGTTATCCATCAAACATAATATTAATTTTCTATTATGTATGCCTACCAAACATCGTATAAGTTATATAAATATGAATTACTTTTTTTATTCAGCTACCAAACGATCCCGTGATCTGAATCGATGGATCTAGCTTTTGAAAAGAAAAGTGAAAAGTAACTTTTCGCATGAATAAATAATTTGTAGTGCTTATTTGGCCAAATACATTATAAGTGATCTAACATTAATATAATAAATTATTTTTTCCTTTTTTTAGTGGTATGATTTAACTTTTGCTTTAATAATAACATTTTTGGGCATTGTCCAATTTTTAAATAAAAAGTAACTTTTTATTCCAGACTCCAGTATGGTGCACAAGCTTTTCTTTTCTTAATTAATTCAAGATATTTACAGTAACTTTTCAGAATAGTTGTAGTACTAACAAATATAAAATTTATGCACTATAAAAATAAAAAGATTTTTTGGGAAGAGTTTCATAGTGGGGTATATCAAAAATGTTTTGAAATGTAATTGAAAGGTGTAGATTCATAGGACATTAAGTTTTAAAACTTAGCAATAATTAGTGATGAATAACAAAAAAAAATCGTATTAGCTATGGAACAGCTATGCATACAACCATCGATATCGAAAGGACTTTTATTTTGTTTATTTATTAAATGTTGTATAATAGAATAATTCAAGAAAAGGACATATGAACTACAAGGAGGTACTTCAAGATTTAGATGCAATTGAAAGGTATAGATTCAAAAAAAATCTTATGAATTAGCTATGGACCAATTACCATGCAAATCTTATCAATTAGCTATGGACCAACCATGCATACTGCCATTTAGAACTACAACGACGTCGAAATGACTTATTTTTTTTAATTCAATAAATATTGTATGATCGAATAATTCAAGAAAAGACACATGAACTGTAGGGAGGGTCCTTTCTAATTAGTTAGACATTTATAATCTAAATTAAAAAAAATATTGAACAAGTTATTTTTTGAAGTTCATCATTTTTCTATAGAAAATACTATGTCATTTTTTATTTCAATATACTTTGATGGTAAATTAACGATGAATATTTATACTTTTATAGCCAACTCTTTTTTAATTATTTTTGTTTTTGCCGATACAATATGTAAGGATACATCTTCCGTCATAGTGACAACCGAAGTAGCTAATGATCTTAGACTGAAAAATGTTATGGCTAAACAGAATGTTAGTAATAGAATAGATGAAAGTAGGAAAAATTTGAAACGTATGCCTAGAGCTAAAAATAACTCGATCATGGAATAGCACTGTTGGAGGGGGTAAGAATTGTCGTATCTCTTTATTAGCTTGGCTTCAAGGGGGTAAGGAAAATTCTAAGAAAAAAATTCAAGGGATTAAAAATCGAATTGATGATCTGAAAAACGATCCTAGAAATTTTGATCTTAATAAATTAAGGTTGCTTCGTAAGGAATTAGGACAGGCGTATAAGGATGAAGAAGCCTACTAGAAACAAAAATCTAGAGCTTTGTGGCTTCAAGAAGGCGATAAAAACACTTCTTTTTTTCATATGAAAACGATTCAGAGGCGTAAGTGTAACAATATTAAGGGGCTTACATTATATGATGAACATTGGATTTCTGATCATAGTGATATTGTAATAGAAGTAGAAAGATTTTATAAAAATTTATTCACTACTTCTCGACCTACAAACTTTGATCACGTTCTTCATCTAGTTCCTACCTTAGTAGATAATTCTATTAATGATATGCTTACTAGAGAAGTAACAAATGAGGAAATTAAACAAGTTGTTTTTGATATACATCCGTTAAAAGCTCCAGGAGTAGACGATATGACACTCTTTTTCTTTCACAAGTATTGGAATATTGTCTCTGTTGATGTTTGTGAAGCTATAAAAAGTTTTTTTAATTTAGGATATTTGCTACCTTCTTGGAACCAGACTCTTATAACTTTGACCCCTAAAGTGAAAAATCCTAGTGATGTTAGTCAATTTCAACCCATAAGTTTATGCTCTACAATGTACAAAATTATTGCTAAAATTATTGTCAAGAGACTTAAAGGTTACCTGCCCAATATTATTTCTCCAAATCAATATGCTTTTATTGGAAAACGATAAATAGTTGATAATGTTGTTCTAGCTTATGAGTTCATTCATTTTCTTAAAAATAAAAGACGTGAAAAACAAAAATATATGGCCCTTAAGCTAGATATGGCTAAAGCTTATAATCGAGTTGAGTGGGTTTATATTCAAAAACTATTTTTTAAAATGGATTTTCATGAGACTTTTATTAACTGGATTATGCAATGCATCACTACCCCAACGTATAAATTTAATACTAATGGGGACATAGCAGGAGAAGTAAAATCTACTAGAGGCTTAAGACAAGGAGATCCACTTTCTCCATATCTTTTCCTGTTATGTGCGGAAGGTCTTTCCAGACTCTTAAATCAAGCAGAATTATGTGGGGATATACAAGGTTTAAGCTTAAGTAGAGAGGGGCCTACGATTAATCATTTATTTTTTGTTGATGACACCTTTATCTTTTGTAATGCTAATATTCAGAACACTCAAAAAATTTCTGAAATGTTAAAAATATATGAAAAGTGCTCGGGACAAAAGGTGAACTTCACTAAATCTGCTATTTTCTTCAGTAAAAATTGTTCTGATATTGAAAAAGTTAGTACTGGTGAAGTGTTAGGACAACTACAAAGGAATAACTTAGGATTATATTTTGGGCTACCTGCGGTAGTTGGAAGATCAAAGAAAAAAATGCTAGAGTTTATTAAGATAGGGTGAAATCCAAAATAAAAGGGTGGAAAAATAACTTATTAAGTCCGGCAGGAAAAGAAGTGATGCTTAAATCTGTTTTATCTGCTATTCCATCCTATGCGTTATCCTGTTTTCAGTTTTCAAATTCATTAAGTAAAGACATTACGACTATCTTATCTAATTTCTGGTGGGGGCATGCTAAGGATAAAAGGAAGATGCATTTTGAAAAATGGGAGATCCGTTGTTCAGTAAAGTCTAAAGGGGGCATAGATTTTAGAGAATTAAAGTCATTTAATCAAGCTTGCTTGGCAAAGCTTGCTTGGTGAATTTGACCCAAGAAGATTCATTACTATTTAGAATTCTGAAGAGTAAATATTTTTCGCATACTTCTTTCCTTAACACCTCTTGTTTGTCTACTAGTTTTTGGATATGGAAAATCATTATTTGGGGTAGAGATCTTTTACAAAAGAGCATTAGATGGAGGGTAGGCTGTGGAGAAAATATAAAAGTATGGACAGACTCGTGGATTCCTAACTCTAGTGGATTCAAACCTAGTCTGATGTATGCTCCAATAGATGTCGAGTTGAGAGTGAATGATCTTATAGAGGAAAGTACCCATACATGGAAACTGGATGAGCTTCAAAATTATTTTTGCCCAAATGACGTCCATACAATAGTCTCTATACCTATCTCAACAACAGGTTCACCAGATAAGATTATTTGGCAACATACCAAGTCTGGAAAGTATGAGGTTAAATCAAGCTACCACTTAGCTAGGGAAATGTTTAGACGTGAACAAGTGAGTAATGAGAGATCCCAATCTAGTAATCAATCTTTCTCAAAAGAATTCTGGAACTTTTTATGGTCTATGAATATTAAAAACAAGTATTAGCACTTTATTGGAAAATGTATTTTGAATGTATTATCGGTCAACCACATGATTTCTAGGAGAATGAGGCATATGTGTGGAGTGTGTAAGGGTTGTGAACTTGAGAATGAAACGATTGATCACATGTTGTTTAGGGTGTCCTAGTGCCCAATTAGTTTGAAAATTTTGCCCCATTAATTGGCCTAGTTTAGAAAATACTGTGGATTTTGCTGGATGGTGGAATGATCTTTTTACTAATGCTAAAAAATACCCTGAGTCTATTGAGCTTATAAAATTAAGTATTTCTATTATGTGGCAAATTTGGAAGGCTAGAAATTCAAAGAGTTTCAATGGAGAAATTTATGATCCTAATGATATTGTTAACAAAGCTCTTTTTGATTTCCATGAATATGAAAGCAATTTGATTCCTTCATTTTCCCCTATAGTTATACCTGCTTGTAATGATGATAGAAATATAACTATGGCACAAGATGGTATTGTTGTGTTTGCAGATGCTAGTGTACATAAGGAAAAGAAGACGGCAAGCATTGGTGTGGTGGCTTTGGATAGCTATGGTAACCTGCTTCATGCCTTTGGCTCCCCAATTCAATATGTTGGGAAAGTCATCACTGCTGAAGCAATTGCAATTCGTATGGCGCTGGAGAATGCTAGAGAAAAGGGGTGGACAAAGGTGCAAATCTTATCAGATGCAAAAAAAAATGTGGTAGATTTGGTACTACAAAGAACTATAGTCTCATGGGAGATAGAGACTACTTGTGAAGACATTTGGAACCTTATGAAGTGCTTTGAGGTGGTCGCTGTGAACCATATTCCAAGGTCTTGGAATTTAGTGGCACATAATTTAGCAAAATTTTCTATTTCATTAGTACGCAAAGTTGTTTAGCTTTATAATTTCCCTAGATGGATTGCAAGTGATGCTATCACATCTTTTAACTCTTTGAACCTTTTTATGCATTAATATAACTAGCATGTTGGTTGTCAAAAAAAGAACTCGGTATGTTTTGAAATTACATAGGATCATTGACGGGGTAAACCCATATTTAGTTTTGAACACTTCAATTTATATATATATATTTGTAAGAACATAAATTATGATATTAATAATACAAGATACTATTTTCATTCTAATATACTCTTAGGCAATATTATTTTTATTCGTTTAATATAATGAATCAAACAGTCGAAAAAAAATAATATCATGACATTATCAATATATCTTATTCAGTATTATTCTTATATACCTTATCAAGCAATTCCATAATGTATATAAGAATATATATTGTGTTTGTCTTCCTTTACTATTTGTTGTATGTTACACAAATACTATGAAGTCTTTTGATAAAATGTATTAAAAAAGTATTGAATAAGGCGTATTAATAATATCGCGATATTATTTTTTTATTTGTTGTTTGATTATATATAAAAAGGTTGCCTTTGATTTTCTTTATTGACTTTTCTCCTTTTATTTTGGATTGATCGATAGTGAATTCTATGATTCATATTTCATCATAATGCATGGTATTCAAGAGACAAGTTAACATTATTGGACCCATGCACAACTGGAGTTGTTCATTATTTATTTCATTGAGAGTTTCTTTTCTTCTATAAAAGGACTCTCTATTCATCATTATTCTCATTTATATTCCAGGTTTATTCCTTCACCTCCTTCTTCTTCTTCTTCTTCTTTTTTTTTTTTTTTTTTTTTTTTGTGTTGGTTGATAGTGAATTCTATGATTTAAAATTTAAAATTTAAAATTTAGGAAAATTTTGTTGCATTGGATCTATTTTCTTGATTTTGTTTGAATTTCTTCGATGGATACAAGATTTTAAGTCTTTACGTTCTGAATTTTACGATAGCATATTTAAGATTTGAAAATTTAGGAGAATTTTGTTGCATTGGACCTATTTTCTCGATTTTGTTTGAATTTCTTCGATGGATTCAAAATTTTAAGTCTTTACTTTCTGGATTTTAGAATAGCATAGTTAAGATTTGAAATGTATTATGAGTTCCTACAATACTAGTATCAAGCTAATATCATATTAATGATATTTGAACTTTTAGTCAAACATATTTTCCATATATATATGATTTCTAATTTTTCTATATGAGAAAAAACTATAGATTTCACGTGAGGTAGTGATTATGATTTCTATTTTTTTTTTCTTATTTGCTTACCTAAACATATGTATCATAAATAAATTAAAGAATGTATCTTGGGATTTTAATTAAATTCATTTATTTTGTTCGAAGTTGATTTATTTCACTAATTGTGTTATACTTTTACTAAAAAACTTATTTCAACTTTTAACTAATTATATTATATTTTTTAGGGAAAAAGGTCTGAAATATAATCGAACTTTGACCGAAATTGCTATAACGATATCAAACTTTGGAAATGACTTTTTACCCCTGCACTATTTAATAGTGTATTTTAAAGGTATATATGTGTCCACATGGACATCAAAAAATTTGCATAATTATAAATAGTAATGTGTCCACGTGGGCACATATATACCTTTAAAATACACTATTAAATAGTGTAGGGGGGTAAAAGGTCATCCATAAAGTTTGGTATCGTAACAGCAATTTTCGGCCAAAGTTAAAGTATTTTTCAGACTCTTTTCCCTATTTTTTATTGAAATAATATTTTCTAACTTTAATTTTCAACTACACAAAAATAATAAAGTATTTGATGTTACTTTACACCTTATATGGAGTACTTTGTTAGTGGAGAGAAGCATATTATATTATAATTGATCTATTTTCAATTATTCATAAGCATATATGCTCCACTTAGTTTTTTTTTTTTTAAAATAGCATAAGTGCTACATTATTTTTGTCCCTTTCAATAAAATTACACTTAATTATTTCGAATTTATTTATTCTAAATTCTGAATTAATACTTATTCTTTTGTATAGCCTTAGTTTAGGGATTTGTCCATTTTTATTAGTTTTTTTTTTCTTGGTTTTAATAATTTATTTTTTTATTTTTTCAGAATATCGCACTTTATCTTTCGATAAAGATAATTATATTGTCAGAATTTTCTGACAAATTAAGAAGAAAAAGAAGAAGAAAGATGGGTTTTTGGACATTATTTGAGGTGGCATCTATGCCAATATTACAAATGCTTCTTATAAGTGTTTTAGGTGCTTTAATGGCAACTAATTATTTCAATATTCTTCACTCTGATACTCGAAGGTCCCTTAATAAAGTAAGATCATTTTTTTCCCATTATTTTTCCAAGTATAATATATAATATATGTTAATATTACTTGTAAAATAGTTCATGCACCACTAGAAACTATATAATTAGTTATGAAATTTATTAGTAATCCTCAGCTGATTAATTTGTTGCTAAAAAGTTTTTAGCTAATTAATTTTTTTAAATAATTTTTGTGTATGTAGATTGTTTTCGTGGTATTTACGCCCTCCATAACGTTTGCAAGTTTGACTAAGACTGTCACCTTGGACGACATCATCTCATGGTACTATCAAGTACTTTTAATCATGTTTTAATTTATATAACATAGTCTGTTTAAAAAAATAATGCTACTTTTTTATATTTATTTAGTAACTTGTTAACTTAAATATCATGCATGTTATATTTATGATCACGAGATTTAAAAATATTCTGATATATTATATATATTTTCATTTAAAATTATAGGATTCAAAAATCATCTTTTTTCTTTTTTAAACTTTGAGTTTGATCAAACTTTGATACGTAATATTGAAACGGAGGGAATACCAACTCTCAGAACTCGTTTGGTACAAGGAATAAGTGGTAATTATCTCGAAATTAATTTTTGAATGATTTTATCATATATTTGATTGTGATAAAATCGCGAGATTAGTTATTCCAGGATCGTAGTGTTATTTTTATCCCAAATTAAATGTGAGATAATAATTTTGATATAATTAATCTCAAAAGAACTTGTTCCCCAACCAAACATACCCTCACAATATTATCATGCGTTTATATATGAGAAATGTCGGTAGAAAATATAAAGAATTTTTAGTGTTAGAGTAATATTTGTTCTCAATAATATTGGATTGAGATGTATTTAAATGAAACGTCATAAGTAGCATAAATTTATATAAATAAGTCCAAATTTATACAGTATAAACAGTGAAAATTTATATAGTCGACCTGAGTTGAATCTAAACTTGTTGATTATGATCTATCAGGTGGTTTATGCCCATTAATATAGGGCTAACTTTTTTAGTTGGAGGAATTCTTGGATGGCTAGTTGTAAAAATACTTAAGCCAGAGGTACATTTAGAGGGACTTATTATTGCTACATGCTCAACAGGTACACATAATTTATATATATATATATAATCCTCCATTCCACTTTACGTGACACTATTACAATTATTTAAATGAACAAGTAATTTTTTCTTTGATGATTATGTTCACTTTTTAGTACATTTTTATTTTTTGAATTATTAGTTATATATACTAATTTATTGTAATTTCTTCGTTCCACTTTATGTGTCTTGGTAACTATTTGGAGAGTCAAATGATGCTTTCTTTGATCACAATTTTCATAAATACTTTCTGTTTTTTGAATTGTTATAGCTATTGAATTTACATTATTCTTTATGTAATTAATTTTTAAATATGCAAATTCTATTGCAAAAAGATTAAAGAATATATTTATGTCTGAAAATCCACACTGAAAATTAGTTAGTGTGACGATCCTCGTATATATTCCGAATCAGGTCACACAAATTAAAACAGAAAAAGTAGAATTTTTGAAATTTGTAAATTTTATTAAGAGATCTCAAAGATTTCATGTTCAAAATTCAAATTCACGCAAAATATTAGTAGTTATTTTGACCCTCGTATTCTGAAACATGTGACCTCTAATTATGTTAAATTAAAACAGGTAATTTGGGAAACCTTCTATTGCTAGTAATTCCAGCAATTTGCAAAGAGGATGGCAGCCCATTTGGTGATCATGGAATTTGTGCTTCTGTTGGTCTTTCTTATGTCTCTTTCTCTATGGCAGTAAGTTCTTATAATAAAGCTTAATTAATTAACTTCTTTAGCGGTCGATTGAGTCTATCGTAGGAATTTGTCTAGTGCAATTTATTTCTCCTATATAACTTACGGATTACTATACTGAAGCGAAATTTATTTTATGTACACTCAAAAGATCGATGGAGTGTATGTAGACGTTGTGACCTTATAAATATAAAAATATTGTTTTTTGAAGGACCCTCGACTCGAACCGATCTAACTAGTCATGATATATATCACCATTTTATAACTTTTAGTGTTATACTTGCTAGGGTTAAATTATTTTAATTTTGTGATTTACTAGTACTATTTTGTTGATTTAATTAACAGGTAGGTGGTTTCTACATATGGACATACACATACCACTTAATAAGAAGTTCCTCTGTGAAATTTAAAGCAATAAAAGCAGAAAATGCATTGAAGAAACCAAATATGGATTTGGTAGATGCAAATGAGAAATCTCACCTTCTTCAACATGATGATACTGAAAATCAAATGGTAAGTTAGTGTTTTTTTTTTTTTACTTTTTCGCTCGGTGTCTAGTGTCAGTATTGGAATCTAATTAAATTCAAATTCACACATTCCATGACTCAGTTCTGAATTTTTATTTTTATTTTACATTTTCAATGCTCGAAATTCGAAACCTCTGATTAAAGATAGAAGGATCCAACCATCACTCTACAACTAATAGTGATGCATGGTTATGCTAATTTCACATAATATCATCCAAACTTTATATATTTACAATATAACAACAATTTATAAACTGACAAAACCATTTTTATTTTATCAAAAATAATTGAGTTTCACCCATTATTAAACTTTACCTATTACTTTCATCGTTTCAATTTATGT